CACAGGAAGTCAAGGAATATACTAGTATGACGAACGATTTACCGGGCACGGATCCCTCCTCTTGAAGAAATAATCCATTGTATTAACTATAAATATGGTTTCAATAGATCGAGGATAGCTTCGTATTTATTTTTAAGTTTGAGTTAGAGTCTAGTATAATTTAACAATACCCGTCTGGTTAAGATACTTTTAAAATGACATAAAATAGTCCAGGAAGACATCAACTAAACAATTATTGGACCAAAGAGCTAAATAAAAATTATTGTCAAAGAAAAGGCAAGTAAAATTAACAACAAAAATTAATCTTTTGAAACCGTTCTTTAATTTGGGATTTTGGAGACAATTGTGACAAAGGATCTTAAGTATCCTTATCTAGCCAAAAAGTGTGACGTATGATGTAAGGTCGTGAGGTGCACCGTCCTGACTTGAGCGACACAGGTCCATTATTTGACCGTCTGTGTAGGGACATGATCTAAAGTCCATGATGGCAGCTCAAGGACGGGGAAAAATCAGCACTGAAGAAATCATACAGTGGACCGACGGTTTACACCCGGAACGCTGTGTTATTGGGTGAGATGTAGACAAATGAGAGGTTTACACCCGGAACACTGTGTTATTGGGTGAGATGTAGACAAAGGAGAGGTTTGCACCCAGAACGCTGTGTTATTGGGTGAGATGTAGACAAAGGAGAGGTTTGCACCCGGAACACTGTGTTACTGGGTGAGATGTAGACAAAGGAGAGGTTTGCACCCGGAACGCTGTGATGTTGAGTGAGATGTAGACAAAGGGGAGGTTTGCACCCAGAACGCTTTGTTATTGGGTGAGATGTAGACAAATGAGATGTTTACACCCGGAACGCTGTCTTGTTGGGTGAGATGTAGACGAAGGAGAAGTTTACACCCAGAACGCTGTAATGTTGAGTGAGATGTAGACAAAGGGGAGGTTTGCACCCAGAACGCTGTGATGTTTAGTGAGATGTAGACAAAGGAGAGGTTTGCACCCGGAACGCTGTGATGTTGAGTGAGATGTAGACAAAGGAGAGGTTTGCACCCAGAACGCTGTGATGTTGAGTGAGATGTAGACAAAGGTGAGGTTTGCACACATCAATCACATCATGGTCATCTTCAGTTCATTGTGATCGTGACTGGGATTTTAACGTAAAAGGACAAACTATATTACAGCGTCAACATACAAGGACAATATATACCACAGCGTCAACACACTAGGACAACCTATATCATAGCGTCAGCACACCGGGACAAAATATACCACAGCGTCAACACACAAAGACAAATATAACACAGCGTCAACATACCCTGACAAACTGTCACAGCGTCAACACACAACACACAAGGACAAACTATATCACAGTGTCAACACACAACACACAAGGACAAACTATATCACAGTGTCAACACACAACACACAAGGACAAACTATATCACAGTGTCAACACACAACATACAAGGACAAACTATATCACAGTGTCAACACACAACACACAAGGACAACTATATCACAGTGTCAACACACAACATACAAGGACAAACTTTATCACAGTGTCAACACACAACACACAAGGACAAACTATATCACGGTGTCAACACAGAACACACAAGGACAAACTATATCACAGTGTCAACACACAACAATAAAGGACAAACTATATCACAGTGTCAACACACAACATACAAGGACAAACTATATCACAGTGTCAACACACAAGGACAAACTATATCACAGTGTCAACACACAAGGACAAACTATATCACTGTGTCAACACACAACACACAAGGACAAACTATATCACAGTGTCAACACACAAGGACAAACTATAGCACAGTGTCAACACACAACACACCGAGACAAACTATATCACAGTGTCAACACACAACACACTAGGACAAACTATATCACTGTGTCAACACACAACACACAAGGACAAACTATATCACAGTGTCAACACACAACACACTAGGACAAACTATATCACTGTGTCAACACTCATTACACAAGGACAAACTATATCACAGAGTCAACACACAACATACAAGGACAAACTATATCACAGTGTCAACACACAAGGACAAACTATATCACTGTGTCAACACACAACACACAAGGACAAACTATATCACAGTGTCAACACACAACATACAAGGACAAACTATATCACAGTGTCAACACACAACATACAAGGACAAACTATATCACAGTGTCAACACACAACACACAAGGACAAACTATATCACAGTGTCAACACACAAGGACAAACTATATCACAGTGTCAACACACAACACATAAGGACAAACTATATCACAGTGTCAACACACAAGGACAAACTATATCACTGTGTCAACACACAACACACAAGGACAAACTATATCACAGTGTCAACACACAAGGACAAACTATATCACTGTATCAACACACAACACACAAGGACAAACTATAGCACAGTGTCAACACACAACATACAAGGACAAACTATATCACAGTGTCAACACACAACACACAAGGACAAACTATATCACAGTGTCAACACACAACACACAAGGACAAACTATATCACAGTGTCAACACACAACACACAAGGACAAACTATATCACTGTGTCAACACACAACACACAAGGACAAACTATATCACAGTGTCAACACACAACATACATGGATAAATCTATATCGAAACATCCACTCACAAGAACAAATATCACAGCGTGAATACAAAATAACATGCCTATGGTAAATAATCAGGAAAACGGTCATTCCGGAGAAGGATTTTCATGCTCGAGTATCACAGACAATTATATAATATATATATATATATATATATATATCTGACGTAAACATATTTCAAAAGTTTTTGTATCTAAAGCTGGGATGCTGTGATAGTAGATAAAAGCAGCACGACAGACTGTGCTGTACCCGTATAAAGTACTACGATAGTACACCAGGTGCGGCGTTCAGTAACTCGCGCGAGGGATGCCTGGTGAGACCCTCGACCAGGTGTGTAGTCGGCGAGCGCCAACTTGTTCGTGTGCATCTACCTGGTCAAAATGACGGCGGGCAATGAATGGGTTAACATGGTAGGTCGGTTATGTTTGAAATTTCATCATAAAGATGATATATATATATATATATATGTTACTGGTGCCGTAATATCTAGAATAACAATGTCATGTCGTGAAATGATTCCATGAGAACGAGGCTCGAGAACTCTTCAGAGTCACGTGTGTCGCCTGGGAATCACGAGTGCATGCGTTACACTCAAGAGTGCAAAAACAGCTGGGATCTACACATCAAATACGACAACTTTGCAGTTTAGCAGCAGTTTTGTCTTGGTAGATAAAATCAACACTTCAAGTGACAATTCTCTCTGTGAATCGGGCAAAGTGGTTTAAGTCTTACGAAATAATCCAACAGTGGGATTTTATCGTGCTGTCATTTTCCAATTTTGCAAGTGTAAAATCTTGCCCGTTTGAACACGTTATAACACATCCAATGTGGTACAATACTCAAATAAATGCAAATATCAAGTCTCATCTTAATCCCCCCCACACACACAATCATCGTAATAATTTCTAGATGTTATACCATTGATGATGATGATGTTCCTGTAGTTGAATGTTTGTCCTGAATTCAAGGTTAGATAAAAATGACAGACACATGTATTTAAAGGTCAAAGACTTCAACAGGAAAATGCGTCCTTTTAAAACATATATCGAGTCATTGTTTTGACTTAAATGACAAAAAAAAAGTGTCTTCGCATGAGGTGAAGATGAATATGATTCTTGAAGGGTTGTGTAGGCATTAGAGTGAGAAATATAGCCCCTCAAAGAGAACCCTTCCTCGTTTGCCAGCACGACCGTGACCCTAACAGTCAAAGCCGGAATCCGAATCCCGCGTTCGTGTATGTTCTGCCAACTTTATACACATCCTGCCACTTCCGTTGTCGTAAGGACTCACCTCAAGTGTTTCAATAATGTAAATTTAAATATTACATTTGTGTGATGTTATTGTTCATTTATGTCCCATTTTTATCCCCTGTATAAATAAAAGGGTTGTGTGTTTGTAAACATGCCTTTCACAGTTTGAATTTAATACGAAAAGTTCGTGGGTTTTGATCAAAGTCTTTGTAAACTATTTTATGAATATTTGACTTGCGATAATAATCACACAGCTGTACCCGGCTGATAATGAAAATCGTGAAACAAGAGTCGAGTGTTGATATATTGATTTTAAAGTTTACGTTAGTGATATTATAAAACCACTACAGACACGGCTCGCCTACAGGAAATTCACCACACCTTCGGTTGTACATATAGCCAAACTGTTCAATACATCCAAACTCACGCCGAGTCATAGTCGATACATATCATATCCAGGTATTGTTTTTTTCATAGTTTACATCATAAATAAATTTGTAAATGAACCTCGCTTACAGATATTACAATAAATATTGTGCACTGTTTTAATCCTTTGTCCTCTCTAATACAATAAATGTCTTTGCTCGGAGTCTTTTTTGTGTTGTTCTTTCTCTTAAACAATCTAAGTAACCACAAATCTAGATTTATGATATATTTTGTTTCCTTCGAAGTATATACATGAGAGTTCTATAAATGCTATAATGAGATGTGTATGTATTTCCGATGAAATGTTATAGTTTTCTTCCGTTGAGAGATGTGGTTGATAACGTTTTAAAAAAGGGAGCAATTTTTAAAAAAAATGAAAGAGAATATAAAGGAATATTAATGAAATATAAGATGTGTCGGTTAGAACGAATGAAAAGAGACTTAAGCTGATCAGTGGTTTGTGTTTCTACTTCTAACTAAAATATTTTCATTGTTGTTATCGGATGTTGCGAAGACGTAAAAAAAAACTCAGAAGTAAAATAAAGTTTCAGATATGGAATAAAAATCCTTTTGTGATAACCTGATTAATTCTGTGAATGAGAAAGAGGTTATAACAATACTGCATAACAGAGATAAGTAACCTTACCATTTAAGCGTCAGTGCCGTCTGCTTCTTCTTGTCCCTCATGATTTGTGCAACAGTCTTCTTCTGAATCTGTTGTTCATCTGATGTGATGTCACCATTTCCTGCTTTTTCCTCTTCGTCCAAAATGCTCTCGTCATCAGTAAATGCGGGACTATTCAGTGCGGGACTGTCCACCCTGTTGGGTTCTGTGTACGATAAAGGAAAGATAAGTATTGACATCCTAGTAGGACGTAAACTTATTTGGAAAAAAAAATAAAAATTGCCATTATCAGTTGTTATGAAACTAAAACATAATTTACTAAAACGTTATCGCAAGATCGGAAGTAAGAACTACAATGTTTAAAGATATACATAGTATAAAATACAGTATGATATATCACTTCGTTACTCCGAAATCCGGTATACAGTTTAACTTCGTTACTCCAGAGTCCGTCATCGAGATAGGCATTTCTTGGTGTGAATCGTTTTGCTTAGAGCAAATTGTTTAAAGTTAAGAGAGAGAGAGAGATTCTTGATGTTAGGTGTTTTTCTGAGAGAGACAGTTCCTTACCAGGGGCGTTTGTCTAAGAGAGAAATAGATTCCTATTGTGAATCAGTTCGCTGAGAGAGGGATATTTGACAATAAACGTTAAACTGAGAGAAGCAATTCAGAGGACGAGAGACATACTTTTCTTGGAAGGATTCTGATTTTAAACGTTTAGCTAAAATACTTTTGTCTGTGTGAAATACGCCGACACAGGGAGAACAGAAAAACCAACTGATAACAGGCCAGTCTATGGACACTTGACCAACTCGTTGAAATTAGCCATTGCAAAGAAGTCACGTGACCGATGCTCAACATACATATCTTCACTATTCAATATGTCACGCAGAAGTACCAGACTGGAATTCATAATGGTTCAATAGAGATTTCATGGCTAGCGGACGTCAACTAGATGTCAATCATTTATCGTTGCAAATCAGCTTCTATTTTCATGATAAAAAAATAAAAACGTTTTAAAAACTATCACAGAGGTAGCATGCCTTAATCCAAGATTTGTGGATAACATACATATGTTAATCTCATTTATGACGTCATATAACCTATAAGATATCTATATCATAATATTTTTTCTTGAATTACGACTAAAACCAATCTGTGTTTCTAAATACCCGTGTAATAAGAACAAGTCATTTCAGTCTCAGTTCTAGTTTTTTTTTATATCACAAAGTTAAAATACCGTAGTAGATTGTCAATAAAGGTTTGTATATAATAGTTATAGATGCTAATTTACGTGAACTGACAGGAACAAATTCATCATCTATTTAATCACGTGATAGATAATTCAGGTAGAAAGTAGACATTTCCCATTCAAGTAAAAAAAAATCGTTTCTTTATCCATGGTTCTCATTGTTACGTCACAATGCAATCTGTAATTTTGTGACGTCATTTCATTGTGAAAAAACTTGAGTGACGTCATATTTGGTAATCATGTCTACACTTGTGTGATGCACAATAATATCACACGGGTATGGTTATTGAAGTACGGTCCTGTTTTTAGTGTAATATCACCCATAATACATGTATAATACTTTGTGGATCTATGATTGGCTGAAGCTTCCACGTCGATGTTGACGTCATAACTTCATGACGTCATATGCATAATGATGTTCTGGACAGTGGTGATTTATTTCCACTGATGTGATCGCCATTGAAAGATAACCATATATATATATATATCATAATCATATTTGATATGTGGTCAATGAAACTTCTCAGGGGCTCGGTGAAATAAAAAAAATCTTTAGGCTCAATGCATAAATCTCATATTAAATGGAAACTCATTTAAGACTGAACATCTATATTTAAATTTTTAGTCTATTACTTGAGTCAGCTGGTTTCTAAAAAAATCCTCAAAAGTTTGCTCGTGCCTGAAGTATCTATTTTCATTGGCTTCGTATTTTTTCATTATTTATCTATTATGAAGTGTATACATTACAAATCTAGTCAGATTAACACATCTCTTATACACAGCTTAAGTGGTCAAACGGATTTATGTTATCTCCGTTGACCACAACTGTCCACTGGTCATTTTACCTTAATCGCAGTAACAACATTAGGCTCCTTGGCCAAACCGAGGGAGATAGATTACAGGGTAATTGAACATATCTAGAAATTTATCGGTTTACGAATCCGATCTAGATACCATTGATAAATAAGAGATTTTATGATAAACCATAATTCTTGGTTGACTGTTAAATTTGTACAGTTATTCGACAGATTAAATTTACCGATTTTGCCTTTCATGTTTTTTTCTTTTATGATTTCAGATGTTGAAAGATTTCTATATGTATTCTGTGTTCATTTCTTGTTGTTTACAAGTGATTTTATTTGAAGAAGAAGAAGAAGAAGAAGAAGAAGAAGAAGAAGAAGAAGAAGAAGAAGAAGAAGAAGAAGACGGAGAAGAAGAAGAAATCTTTCATATTTTAACAGGTTTACAATATCGTGATAACAAAATCAATACACGATTCTTTGGATCCTTGAAGTAAAAACATGTCATTATTTTTTCATTGATTCGCTAATATTTAATCCAGATGACAAAATGGTTATTATAAAACAAATAAAAGGCAAACATATGCTTTGTAAACGTTGTCGTTAAGAGAGAAAACATCTGTAGCTTTTTAACTGCATAACACACCTGGTGCTATTGTCACAACTGAGCTTACCTGATATTAAAAAAAAAATAATTTGATATAGTATTTCATTACGTGTCACTAATGCATTATATATATAGACAACACAGTACAAATTATTGTATACACAGAATATTTGTGTTGATATATTGTTCCACCCAGAATGTAAAACTGTTGACAACACATTTATGATAAAACATAATAATATTGATCATGGTGTCTAATTCAAACCGAAGCAGGATATTACAAACGTATGTTTAATTGTAACAGTATTTGTTTTCATTGACAAGACAAATAGTGTATATATCTAACCCAAGAAAAAAAATCTCGTGTCCCCTTGTGTACAAAAGAAGTGTATACAGAGACCTTTGATGTGACAGAAATACCGACAGTGTTATTTCAACAATTTCTTTTGGCCCCAACTATTCCTGTCGATAAAATGGCTTCATGCAGGCCATGCTAGGATATCATACAAAACTGCTTGTCAAGAAAAACATATTACAATATAGACAAATATTTGAAAATAAATGAGAGAAAAAAATTTAACTAAATCAATTTAATCAGTTACAGGTGTGGGACAAAGAAAGACGTTCTTCAAAATTATTCCTGAACATGAATTTGGTTCGGAAAATTATAAATGTGACACTGATAATTCGATTTGACAAACAACAAAATATTCATCATTTCAATAACAGTGACGTTGTATACTTTCATCAATTAACACATTTTAATACCATTCTATAATAAACTTAATTTGGGAAGCGGCTGTTTACAATTATGACGATAAATTAAGAGAATCGATATAAATTAACATGGCGTACACCCTGCCATTCTGTTTTACTACCAGTTTTTATAACTCACGATAAAATGTGCGTTTCATAAAGAACAGGCCATTTAATTACCAGTACGGATTATCAAGGTGATTTACTGCATATATCATACGGTATATTTATGATGTTAAGGTAAAATTTCCATGTCGGTTTATTTTGTCATAATTACTGAAATTAGGGTATTTCAATAATATTTGTATGAATAGATGTCGATAATGTTTATACACTGTAATTACAATTAAGACTTGATTTGTTTCACTTTGACGTGTCATAAATGAAATAAACAAATAAAATAATGATTTTCAATTAACTGCTCATACCATATAAATTAATGTATATTTTTGCAATATTAAAGGGGGAACATAGGGCATGAAATATAACGTGGATATCTTATCACCCCTGGTATGGAAAGTTTCTTCCTAAAGCTCTAAGTTGCTCATGTAGACACGCAATGTTATATTACAGTATGATATAATGTTTCAATTAACATAATAAAATTGATGATATTGTTATTTACAATTTTTCGTGTGTTATATCTATATTTATGTTCTAGTTTTGACGTAAAAATTGGTCAGTGCTATAAATTTTAATGCTTAGCGGATATTTGTGATTCCTGTTTGTGGTTTGCGCCATAAACAATGACAATATACACACCATTCATTAACTAGTCATAACTAGCCGCTGTCCAGGTAAAATGTATCAAGGTATCACAGCCCAGGTAAAATGTAACAAGGTATTACAGTTCAGGTAAAATGTATCAAGGTATCACAGCCCAGGTAAAAATGTATAAGGTATTAAAGTTCAAGTAAAATGTATCAAGGTATTAAAGTTCAGGTAAAATGTATCAAGGTATCACAGCCCAGGTAAAATGTATCAAGGTATCACAGCCCAGGTAAAATGTATCAAGATATTACAGTTCAGGTAAAATGTATCAAGGTATTACAGTTCAGGTAAAATGTATCAAGGTATTACAGTTCAGGTAAAATGTATCAAGGTATTGAAGTTCAGGTAAAACTGTATCAAGGTATCACAGCCCAGGTAAAATGAACTGAGGTATCACAGTTCAGGTAAAATGTTTCAAGGTATCACAGCCCAGGTAAAATGTAACAAGGTATCACAGTCCAGGTAAAATGTATCAAGATATTACAGTTCAGGTAAAATGTATCAAGGTATTACAGTTCAGGTAAAATGTATCAAGGTATTACAGTTCAGGTAAAATGTATCAAGGTAAAATGTTTCAAGGTATCACAGCCCAGGTAAAATGTAACAAGGTATCACAGTCCAGGTAAAATGTATCAAGGTATCACAGCCCAGGTAAAATGTAACAAGGTATCACAGTCCAGGTAAAATGTATCAAGGTATCACAGCCCAGGTAAAATGTATCAAGGTATCACAGTCCAGGTAAAATGTATCAAGGTATCACAGCCCAGGTAAAATGGATCAAGGTATCACAGCCCAGGTAAAATGTATCAAGGTATCACAGCCCAGGTAAAATGGATCAAGGTATCACAGCCCAGGTAAAATGGATCAAGGTATCACAGCCCAGGTAAAATGGATCAAGGTATCAAGGTAAAATCACACAGCCCAGGTAAAATGGATCAAGGTATCACAGCCCAGGTAAAATGGATCAAGGCAGCCCAGGTAAAATGGATCAAGGTATCACAGCCCAGGTAAAATGGATCAAGGTATCACAGCCCAGGTAAAATGGATCAAGGTATCACAGCCCAGGTAAAATGGATCAAGGTATCACAGCCCAGGTAAAATGGATCAAGGCATACAGAAACGGCTGAACATGTAAACAGATGTTTTCTTCCCTCCACAGCCATTGAAAAAGGTCAAACTTCACAAACATGAAGACACAAGCCGAGTATATGAACCAAATCTTGAAAACCATTGTCTTACCCGTGTGTACCTGTCGGCATTAGACACATAGACCATGAAAATCAATTTCTCACAGGTGCACGTGACGCGTGCGACGACAATAATATTTGGTCAAATTGTACTGTTTACATCAAAATTACCTCCAGTAGTAAATCTTTGTTTGCACGCCTAAGGAAAGGTTACACGTACTTTTAATTCTGAACCTCTTTTTTTTTGTATTTTGATAAAAAAAAATTTGCTTAAAAGGGATGAACGGTATCATTGTATCAATCCATTTTGGTCTGTAAAAAGCGATACAGACAGGTGTAATAAATTAATATGAAAAACCTATCGAAATGAAATCCGGCTAACAAATAAATTTCAAACATAAAAACTAAAATATCAATAAAAATTATAACGCTATGGAAACTTCGGGGTTTTGTTTATATAATTAAAATGTGAATTTCATAAGTGGTACATAAACGAACGATTTAGATTTATTATACTAATCGGATGTTTTCTTATTTAAAAAAAAAAGAAAAACTTTCCTTAAAGTACATCTGTAGTATTATATAAAACATCGCTTCCTTTTCCACTTGAAATGACATTTATACAGTTTGTACAAATAAAAAATGGCGATGTTGTTATATATACATCTGCATTAATATGAGCACTCCATCCTGCCAAACTTCAAACTCCAGTCCTCAACACGAGGCAGGAAGTAAACAGGGGGCCGCGTGTACCTCCCTTTCTCCTCTAGGTCGGTACCAAATATCGCCCGATTTCCCTAACAGTTTGCTCATAATCACCCAAATATTTTGTAAAAAAGCGATAACCCTATTTCCTGGTTATATATTTAAACTCACCAGTGAAGAAAACCATGTGTATGAATTGAAAGGGAATTAAAAAGTAAGAAATGAAAAATATCTTCAATTTCCTTATAACATACAGAGAGAAGATTTACAAATTATTTGTACTATAAATTGCAACACCGGTGACATTAAATAATCTATTGAATGGAAGAAAGAAGGGACAAAAACGCTAAAAATATAACATTAATGATTAATCGATGAAAATAGAACATTTGATTCATTACGTCACAAAGCATTAAATAGGAAAACAGAAAATACATGATCTACTGATAAAGTTAATAATTTCAGTTATATTCGGGAAGAAAACAATGGAATTCATTTTTCAGTGGTAACATTATAAATACGTTCATTTGTTTATTTAGGTGATATTAGATGTGTCTAAAAACTTTCATGAATATCTAATTTAAAAAAAATTAACTTAACCAATTTATAGACTGTAAATAAATACAAATAATGCCGTTTATTGATTTTTCTGACAAATTATATCGAGTTTGATGAAAATAATTTTGTTTGAGTTAGGGAGATATATTTAATTAGTGTTTATTTATAACGTTTGTTAAACCTCTGATCGATATCAGTATGATCACCATGAAGTTGATATAAAATAAATCGGTGTAGATTTTCCGTGTTTTCGTTGACAGTGTATTAAACCTTTCACGTATAAAAAATCCTCACAGACTCCGCGCGACATTTCATCGTTATAAGGTCTGTAGCAAAATATTCTTTATGTAGATAGCATTTCTGTGATCGTGACACTATTACAGAGTAGAAAATTCAATCGTTCAATTTTCAGAGCGAACTGTTTTCTAATTTTTTTCTTGCTTATACGCGTATAAATTCCATGCACTTGTAATTAGAGATCGGGGGGAAAATCGGACGTTGAATTTCAAATTATCCTCATTTAATCGCCTGTTTCCATGACAGTTTAATAGCAATTGACTTACATTGTTATATGGCATAATTTGGTCCATAACTGTGATGTTATAATATTATACTAAAATTACAAACAGACATGATTTGGTTTCATTATCACTAAATTTGACGTGCTTCCCATATTTTTCACAAAAGAAATTAATTTTAAAATCTATGAGCTTTCGAAATATGCCCCTCCTCGGTCCCCTAGTACAGCATACATTAACTGCTTTCTCAGTAAGAATATAAAGATACGTATTTATTCTATGCAGATTATTAACGCGTGTAATTCTCTATATAAACAGATGCACCCCAAGTCCCCGGACAGACTGTGTGAGTTTGTTTGTACATAGCGTGACGAACAGATTACGTTCTAGTGTCGGGTACGTACAGATAGCAGATCTCGTCCTACTTTGAAGAATGACAAATCGCACTATCTTCCCTGTCGACATTTTACCAACTTCAAATAATCTCAGCCTTTCCACACAGAGATCTTCAACGTCCGTTCAAAAATCTTTCGCACTCTTACCGATAATATTCGACGACAGTAACGTGGAGAATGAACAAAACCGCTAAATATGATCGCAGCATATTTCAGGATTTTATCTCGGAATATTAAGGGTATTGTTATTATAGAGAAATTCCTGTATAATTCCAGTCTTTTCTTATCAGTATTATAGTGTTTGAATTCATCTAGGTCAAGATATTTCTCGATGTAAGGCTCCAACACGAACTCTAGTCCGTTGTTTTGTCTAAAGCCACTGACGGGCGGGTAAAGAGCATCGCGAGCGACTTCACATTGGACGTCGGTTAGAACGGGTGTTGTGCAGTAGGTGACTTGTTATAACAGCTTCCAAGATATTCCTAAAAGATAGACCTATGTTTGGGAATTACTCTCTTGAAATATTTCTTGTTAAATCAATTTCGTTCACTAGCGAAAGGCTGATTACTTTTAAAAAAAATATATATATGTATATCTACATATATAAACCAATCTTTATCTTTTTTTAGACTTTACTTGGTATATCATTAACATTTATGTGTGTTTCTAAGTCCGAAGGTATATTGAAGTTATATACCTGCACGTGAACAACATTTTTAATCTCGTTAAATTAAAGGTTAAATATGTTATTATGTTGATCATATCAAAATTCAGACAGAAAATATTCTTTCTTTTTATAAGTTTGTTGTTCATCTCATTTCTGTTACATCAATATCAAAAAAAAAATATAAGTTGAAAAACATAAGGATCTTCTGACAAAGTCTCATAAGGACAAATTGAAGTTTTAAAATTTGTCAAAATAAAACCTTTATATATATGTTCTGGTTTAAAGAACGTACATGTAGTGTACATCAAAACAAACTGGGTTCAACTTGCACAACTTATGAAATTGATAACAAATAAAAATAAATAAATAAATGAATAAAAAAACAAACAAATGACACGGTAGACGCAAGAGTGAAATTAAGAATCGATGATATGAACGATGAATGAAACAATACGATGATCACGTGATAAGTAAATACATTATGTTTTTATATTGTTGATTTACAGATTTATGGTAGTAATTTACATATAACGCGCCGTGTTTTTTTATGATGACGGGGAACAATAAACAATCATAAGTTTCTTAAAATAAACAAAGTGTGTTTAAAGAAGCTGTAAAATATAACAAGGATTGCTCCTCAAAATCTTAAATAAATATCACCCCGTAAAACATCCCGAAAGTCGACCAATGAGAGTCTATTAAACACCGACTCGGATTTGTAATGTAGGGAGCTTACAGTATATAATACTACACGGAACTGAAGGCGGGTTCCTGGGTTTCCGGGTACGGTCGCCATGAGCTGGTAACTGGGGTTTGGCAGATTGACTTTTTCGGAATGTCAGCTCGTGTCACACGAGTACACGGACAAGTACACAATCGTAGTGTTTATGTCCAGTCGATTGTTGTTGTTAAACACGTGCAGCGCACGTGCTACCTGGTGCTATTATGTTTTTGCTAAGATTTAGAAACTCTTAACTTATAGGTACAATATATTCCTTTGTATATTTCTAACTGCAGGATTTTATATTTGCTATGAGTTAATATATGTGTGTTCGGAAATTTTCCTGAATATCAAATATATTTCTATACATAAACATCGATTATATGAAAAGTAGAGTAATTACCAACCCAGGATACAACCTGAACAAAATGCATCTTTTGAACAATCAATGTTTGCGCCGTGAATATAATATACTTTTGAATACGCATATATGGATCAGCAATGTATTAGACCTCGTATGAAATGTCAGTTTTTTCACACTGTACATATATATTGTTCTATCTATGTATGTTACCAGTTATAACAAATAAAATCATACTAACATTGGAGTAACTGGTGTTTTAGAAAATTTTTGTCCCAAATACTTGGCCGTAATATTACTTGATTACCGATGAATATTACTCCATCCGAACTCTATCTCCAGGTGAGGTATTGTAGGTCTGGGAGAATACATGTATCAATGGTTTTATAATTTAAAAAAAAATCTTGTGTTATTTAAATCAAAATCAAACATTCAAAACTAACTGACAACATGAAACGGTTACTGTACAAACATCGCTCGTGCCTGTTTTAATTATGCAAATGAGATGTTTGTGAGCAAATATAATCATTTTCAATCATAATGGAAGTGTACCATTTCACTACAACACAAATTTTATATACTCCATATATCATAAGACATGTTCTACAAAACAACGTTTCGGAGTGACCTTACCGTTTTTGACTCCACGTTTCCGATATTTCCGACGTTCGTCCGAACTGATATCCGGGGATGTACTACTCGTATCTATGGACTCACGATCCGTATCTATGCTACCCTCTCTGCACGTGATTTTCGCAGGAGTTTGCATCTCTAAGAAATCCTTGTCAGACGTACACGGCATCCCCGTGTGCACTGATGGTCAGATGTCCAGTCCTGGGTAGCCACAGTTGTATGGCTTCACTGACTAGTTACACAGAGGGACGTCTCGGAGAAGACTACCCAGCCAACCAGATGGTCCTTGACAGCCGATATAATGTAGGTTATACCATAATTTTTTTATCAATACCTTCATAAATCACAGGTAAACCAAAAACAACCCAGGTAAATGATGTATAGGTCGTCTCGTCCTTGTGGTATAATTCTAACTAAGGTATGACAGATCCACAGGTAAATCAGATCCAGGTAGGACAATATATAAATACGGTTTGTGGAGAAAGATGAGGTTTCGGGTAGGCTTCCTTCTACATTATCATACAGATATATCTTTCTAATAGCTATCACTGATTTGTCGCCAATATTGATCCCCACGACGTCACATCACGTGACACACATGAACATAATGACCGATATGAGAAGATAAGGGTTTTAATAATAACTACCCGGCCGATGTTGTTATCAGTCCACGAGTACCCGCCCCCTACGATAACGATGATCGACAGCTTTGATGGACGGTCAGACAAGTGGCACTATACAGCTTACTGAAGCCCTTTCCTGGCGGTCGGAGAACTCAGAACTGCCAAGAGTCATACTTGTTTAGTAATAATAATAATAAACAAAAAAAAAAAAAAAAATGTAACAGAAATAATGTTTTCCAAAATTCAGTACAAAAAACAATAATAGTAAAAAAAAAAAAAAAAATGAAAAATAAGGAATTAAAAAAAAAACCAATCTCAATACATGCTAGAATTCAAAACTATTTATTTTGTAATACGCACGTGCGATTTATTGTTAATTTTGAGTACCAAAACAAATCATGTCTTTATCCTGTGCCGAGATACTGATGTAAAAACATCTGTGTGTCCGACATTGGTCAGTTTCTTATCTGTCCACTTACCTGTATACCTATTTAGGTATAAACCAGGTAAGACTATCGTGACACGTATGACGTATTTATCGGAAACGTGAAACAAATTCTGTAGTCCAAACTACCTAATTATCCGAAACACGATAATACTTGTTTTACTACCTAGAAATCTGCAGTATCGATTTATTAAGGCGTTTCTAGACCAATTTTCAGAAACATAAATGATGTTCTGTCCTCAAAATGCATTTTTTATTATCGATATGTATTTTATAAATTCGGTGTCAAAACTTCGGCATTATTCGACACACGAATTCTGTTTTATCAAGCAGGACGTAGTATTATGGGTAGTTATAACGGTTCGTTGTTTTGTCTAGTTTTCATTGCTGTTAAATATTTGTGGTTCTTGTTTTTACATTTATTTTTTCCTTTTTCTGTTAAATTCTTGAAAAAAACTCACGTCCTATCAGATTATATACCACTCTATGAATAGAATGTAATTTATCCATTAATTTATATCAAAATACAATAAGTCCGAATGGCAATGGTTTCCAATTTCTTCAAGTTTGGGGCAACTCCCGTTTTTCTAATCCCCTGTTTTCTATTTCAGCTGTTCTGATAGGCAACTGACATCTGCTAGAAAGCATTGGGTAGTTTCTGTTAACATCAACTGTTTATGATAGGAAAACAATTGACCCGAAGTAGACCTCACACATATAGTGCAAATACAACGTTGTAAAACTACATAGAATCGCTGATTTCAAATCGAAGTACGAAAAAAAAGAAACAAGAAACCGTCCGGATATCAGTACCAGGATGTGAGATTTCAATACAGTCTGGTGTTTGTGTGGGTCGCACATTATCCTCGAAGCCACACATTTCTGCTATGTGTAAAACATTTTTTAGTATAACGCTTGAATTACATTAGAATATTGTCTGGTAATATGTATATAGATAGAAAGTCTTTTCATCTTCACTGATTTAAAGTGGTCTTTTTATTGTTTTAATTACGACATACCCATCCCACGATAATTATTGAGTATGACGTCATTTGCGACCTGTTGATTATGACGTAATAATCTCGTTAATTGAACTTTACGTTTTCGTAATGACGACATATGTATCTCGTAAATAAGAATTTCACCTTGTCGTAAATATAACATACTATTGTATAAACAAGATAAAAATATAATTCATATGGGACTAACCGGCTTCCATAGCTGTAAATTACACGTTAAATCATTAACTTAGATGAAGATCAGAAATTTTGACTAAACATAGTCCTGGTATATAGGGATTTGAAACAGCTGGGACCTGGTATATAGGGATTTACAACAGCTGGCACCTGGTATATAGAGATTTGACACAGCTGGGACCTGGTTTGTATGGATTTTAACACAGCTAGGACCTGATTTATAAATATTTTAACACAGCCAGGACCTGGTTTATAAATATGTTGATACAGCTGGGACCTGGTTTGTATGAATTTTTACACAGCTGGGTCCTGGTTTATAAATATTTTAACACAGCTAGGACCTGGTTTATATGGATTTTAACACAGCTGGGTCCTGGTTTATAAATATTTTAATACAGCTGGTACCTAGCTTATATGGATTTTAACACAGCTGGTACCTGGTTTATAACAAAGCTGGGCCATGGTTTATAGATATTTTCCTACAAACGGGACCTAGTTTATATGGATTTTAATAGAGTTGGGCCCTGGTTTAAAGATATTTTACTACAGCTGGTACCTAGCTTATAGATATTTTACTACAGCTGGGCCCTGGTTTATATGGATTTTAATAGAGTTGGGCCCTGGTTTATAGATATTTACTACAGCTGGGACCTAGTTTATATGGATTTTAATAGAGTTGGGCCCTGGTTTATAGATATTTTACTACAGCTTGGCCCTGGTTCATATGGATTTTAACAAAGCTGGGCCCTGGTTTATATGGATTTTAATAGAGCTTGGTCCTGATTTATAGGCATTTCAACAAAACCAGGACCTGGTTGATATAGATTTTAACACAGCTGAGTCCTGGTGTATAGATATTGCAACACAGCTTGGTCCTGGTTTATAGCGATATCAACACAGCTTGGTCCTGGATCATAGCGATATCAACACAGCTTGGTCCTGGTTTATAGCGATATAAACACAGCTTGGTCCTGGTTTATATAGATATCAACACAGCTGGGTCCTGGTTTATAGAGATATCAACACAGCTGGGTCCTGGTTTATAGAGATATCAACACAGTTTGGTCCTGGTTTATAGAGATATCAACACAGCTTGGTCCTGCTTTATAGAGATATCAACACAGCTTGGTCCTGGTTTATAGACATATCACCAAAGCTTGGTCCTGGTTTATAGAGATATCAACACAGCTTGGTCCTGGTTTATAGAGATATCAACACAGCTTGGTCCTGGTTTATAGAGATATCAACACAGCTGGGTCCTGGTTTATAGAGATATCAACACAGCTTGGTCCTGCTTTATAGAGATATCAACACAGCTTGGTCCTGGTTTATAGAGATATCAACACATCTTGGTCCTGGTTTATAGAGATATCAACACATCTTGGTCCTGGTTTATAGAGATATCAACACAGCTTGGTCCTGCTTTATAGAGATATCAACACAGCTTGGTCCTGGTTTATAGAGATATCAACACAGCTTGGTCCTGCTTTATAGAGATATCAACACAGCTTGGTCCTGGTTTATAGAGATATCAACACAGCTTGGTCCTGGTTTATAGAGATATCAACACAGCTTGGTCCTGCTTTATAGAGATATCAACACAGCTGGGTCCTGGTTTATAGAGATAACAACACAGCTTGGTCCTGCTTTATAGAGATATCAACACAGCTTGCTCCTGGTTTATAGAGATATCAACACAGTTTAGTCCTGGTTTATAGAGATATCAACACAGCTTGGTCCTGGTTTATAGAGATAACAACACAGATTGGTCCTGCTTTATAGAGATATCAACACATCTTGGTCCTGGTTTATAGAGATATCAACAAAGCTTGGTCCTGGTTTATAGATATTTTAACACTGCTTGGTCCTGGTTTATAGAGATATCAACACAGTTTAGTCCTGGTTTATAAAGATATCAACAAAGCTTGGTCCTGGTTTATAGCGATATCAAGACAGCTTGGTCCTGGTTTATAGAGATAACAACACAACTGGGACCTGGGTTATAGAGATTTAAACACAGCTAGGACCTGGCTTATACAGATTTTGATACAGCTTTGTCCCGGTTTATAGATATTTAACACAGCTGGGCCCTTTTTGTTTGATAGATATATACATCAGCAGAAAAAAACCCAGCAAGCCAAGGTCTGGAGGGTTCGGAAGTCACATATTACGTGGTTTGAGGAAAAAAATTGACGTCCAAAAGTTTATGTCTCCTATGCTAGGGCATTTGTTGCTGTGTACGGGGTTGTACCATCCTGCTGAAGCTATACAGACTCGATATCTAAACCTCTTATCTTTAATGTTGGTCTTTATGATTGCCAGTTAGCTTTTCAACTGACAGCTGTTGTGCTACCGTCACCATTTTCAAAGAATAAATGACCAACAACGCCATTTACGCTCATACAGTTACCATCTAACCATGTAACGGTGTAAAAGTAAGGATTCTCAACGCCCCAATATTTACAGTTCTTTTCATCAGAGAACATATTTTAACTACAAAATCTATGTTGTTGCCCATCCATTATGCAGATGTCTTTTTACTCACAATATCAGTTAACTTAAGGTGTTGCTTTGCCGGAACTGCATATAAAATTAGTTCAAAGTCTAAACTAAACATCCTGTTTGCACTTGTAGCACTGGTGGAGTTTGATATGTCCCCCAGAGTCTTCAAAAAAATTTCGCTAACTGTTGTGGAGCTTCATAAATCGATGTATTCAACTGTTGAATGGTTTTATGAGTTTGCGCAGACATAGGGTATCCACAGTGGTGGTGCCACCTGTCTTTAAATGTCTTCAGACAGGCCAAATTAATTTACAATTGAATCACATGGTCCCAATGTACTTTGCGATGAAAGTTGATTTCGACTACGCTTTTCTGAAAACATGATCGAAGATGTGCGAGAGTC